ATTCATCTTCTGTTACAACTGATACTGGTAACATCTTACTTTTTCTAAACAGACCTCGATCTTAGTCAGATTCCTTCATTTCCCCTGATAATAGCCTGAGTGCTATTTTCAACCGGTCATACATTTAGTGAATGCAAGAACTCCGATTCCGAAAATTTATCGAGGCATCGTGGTCAGAGAGGCTTTACCAAAATCCTAGAACTGAAGTTTTCTTCTCTTAATGGCTTCTTTTCTTATTTCTTTCCACTTTCTGCAATTTATGCATGTATGTCCCTGATGTGGTGTTCCTCCTATTCTCTTGCGCACATTATCAAGGGCTATGTTTTTTTCATGTTTTATTGGGCTCCCTGACACCCTCCGCAAAAGACCAACGAAAGAGAAAGGCCCAAGTGAAAACTAGCTTGCATATACCTTAGAGTTGGGTTGTTTAGGGGTTTCATTAGGTATATTTAGGTTCATTTTATTGTTTACTGGTTTTTGATAACGTAATTTTTCTAATTATTTGCTCTTTAAGGGTTTTTATCCCTAACATGTTAATCATTTATGACTTACAGGCTGTGTGTTGCTTGCTTGGATTTAGCTTGGGGGCTTTTAAACTTAATTGGATGGTCCTCATTTTCTGTGAGTGTTGTTTCATCATCATGATTTACCTGATCTTGTTCTCTGTATTTGAGATTTCAACAGAGGGATGGATATGAAAATCCTTTTGAGTTTATCCTATTCAAGGTTCTAATGCATAAAACAGGTGCTCAATGTTTTATACAGACTAGATGGAGTATAGGGGTCTTTCTTCAACTTCTCATCTCATGTTTTTGACAGTTATCGGTTCTTCTCATTTCTGATTTTACTATGATGATTGGCGATCACATATTATTGATAACAATCCTCATTGTGGTGTGATGATCCAAATTATCCAAAAAAAGAAGACTTGCCATAAACTTGCTGTGTTAGATGTCAAATGCTTCTGTGTATACGCTAATTTAAAACTAACTCTTTCATATCCATTTTTATCTTAGGATGATCAAAGGAGACTTTGCCTGTATGCTGCTTTATTTCTGCCATTCAGAGAGACCATTTATAGAGATAACAAAGCCAAAAAGGTAGAGCTCTGGACCATCAAAGAGTCCATGCAATCTGTTGTGTTTGTATTGGTCAATTCCATTCTACATCTCTTATGTGGATTGAACAGTTTTGCTTATGATTCCATGGATGTGTTTTGCTTATGATTGGAGTTGGTCGACATTTGGTTTCGAAGCAGAGAAAAGAACTCCCTAAAGATGCTTTTTTTTATGTAGTTCCTATGAAGTTTATATTATCTGCACATGAGCTCCGTGAGGATTTGGGTTTATTGTGTATAAATACTTACTTTGGCTGACACTTACCAGATTCCAGTTGTCAACTATATTTTTCGCAATTCTCTCAAGTTGAAGGCCAGTGATGCGGAAACAGTGAGTGATTCTTTATGTGACTACTATATGTTTCATGCATTTGTTATTGAGCCTTGAATCTTAAGCCTATTTTTCCTTATCACTATTTGCCACAAGAAATTTGATGTTTAATATGCATTTGCAGGTCATAAGCTTGCATACTGCGACCAAGAAGTTTGTCACCTTAATTCCATCACTTGTTTCTAAAGAAGATATCAAAGTTCTAGAAGTTGATTGGAAAAAAGATACCATTGAGGTTCCAATTGCTTCAAAACTTAGAATATTGGCTGGTAACAATATCTTTCTTCTGCAAGACAAGTTCTCTACTTCTTAGTGTCATCTTGCAAATTGATGGTTAACTTTTGTTCACAAACAGGACTGCTACTTCGAGAAATTAAAGAATTTTGGCGCGTTGCTCTTCTTCTATCTATGCAATTACATCCCGTTGACATTGTGTCCTCTACAAGCTTCTCAAATGAGAACTTTGAACTGGACAAGAGAAGTGGATTATTCAAGTCAGTAGAGAATGCAGTGGGAGCGCTAGGTATCATCATTTGTCCTCTGTGCTTTTATTTTGTGTTCCCCTTGCAATGTGAAACGGGACCAATCAATCATGTCACATAGATATTGAGCTTTAATTTAAGATATCTGAGGTTACAGTAGCCAAGGATGTCCTGCAAAATGATTGTCTCTTTTATATTTTAATTTATCACTATAATTGCTCCTGCCACTTTGCTCTGTTTAGCCCTGGAACCCGGCTGCTGCACAGCCACTAAAAATAAAAAATAACCCAAGTACCCAACCCTGCCAGTTGCAAATTCTTTTGTATTCAGATCCCATATATAATTGTAACCTATGATCTTACCTTAAATTCCAGGTCTGGAGAAGGTTTGGGAAATGAAACCTTTGGTTAATGGAAAGGAAATTATGAACATTTTGCAGATTAAAAGTGGCGGGCCAGTTGTTAGAGAATGGGTATGCCAATAATACTCTCTTCTTGGGCAGCAGTATATCAGTTTGAGTATTTACTCATCGTTTAATTTTCCTCTGCAGCAACAAAAATTGCTGGAGTGGCAGCTCGCACATCCTTCTGGTACTGCTGAAGAATGCCTTGATTGGATGAAGCAAACACAGTCAAAACGTGCAAGAACTGAGTAGTTCTATTTTCGCAGTGTGCATCCAGTAGTTGATAGCAGTTCAGAATCAAGATTTTCCTCACTCACCACATTATTGTCCAATGTTTCATTATTGACTTGCACCAGTTTACCCCTTTATATATCCTAGAATAGCTGAAGAGGATAAGGGAGAGGAAAAGTAGTTAGCACTTACCAGGCAGTGCCTGTACATTTGTATAGCTTCTAGTGATTGTATAGTGATGCTATGAGACTTGTCAGATAGGAGTCCTTTAAATAGTGCAGAACTGATTTGAAGTTGGTCATGTCTGAAAAGTTATTTATATTTATCAGGTGGAAGAAGAAACAAGATTTTACCAGGAGGAAGAGGTTGAGTTTCGCAGCATGACTAGGCTGTCATCTAGTGGTATTATCAAGATTTTCCTATTTTTATTACTTGTACTCCTTATTAATATATGATAGAACTTTTGAAGGTAGATATGGGCAAGGATGGGGGTGTGTTCCCTCCGCCTAGAGCGATGACTGTAAAATAGCTACAGTAGTGCAGTTTGGATCTTCTTCAAGCATATCAGAGCTAAAGCTTGCTGGAACTTTTGAAGGTAGATAGGGGCAAGGATGGGGGTGTGTTCCCTCCGCCTAGAGCGATGACTGTAAAATAGCTACAGTAGTGCAGTTTGGATCTTCTTCAAGCATATCAGAGCTAAAGCTTGCTGGAACTTTTGAAGGTAGATAGGGGCAAGGATGGGGCTGTGTTCCCTCCGCCTAGAGCGATGACTGTAAAATAGCTACAGTATTGCAGTTTGGATCTTCTTCAAGCATATCAGAGCAACTTACAGACTTTAGTGAACAACTAGTTTTACTAGGAGTCATAGCAGTGGTGATTTGTCGCCTCCGCTAAAGTGAAGCTTTACCAAACTGGCTTTTTTGTGACATGAAGTTATGTTTTTTTTGTAACCTGAAGTTGATTTTCCTTGGAAGCCTAAATTTTGCTGTATTATGGTGGCTTAGTTTTTTAGTCAATTCATTCATGATGTTTCCATCCTTAGCAATATCCACTTGCGCTACGTAGCTCAAGGCTTAATGGGAGTTACCTATCAATTGGCTTATAAGTTATTTTCAAAATATAGCCAAAAACGCATAGTCCTTATGCAGGCTCAATATTTGACAGGCGATAAGTGGCGAGCGAACCTAACACCATGGGGGTCGTTTGGTTGGTGTAGCGAGGAGGTTTAATCTCCGCATGAGTTCTGGCATTATTATTATGTAGTATTGGTTGCTACCAACTTGTTTCTAAACCAAATGACCCGTAAGGTTATGCACCATTTCTCATATGAAGATGTTAGGCAATCTTTTAAGCAGTTTTGCCATGTCAATAATCGCTTACGGAAAATTCTGCGTATATCACGTTTCTGACACAATATTGAATACCATGGGAAGAATAATTAGACTTGTATAACCCTATGTAAACAGGTGATAAGAAGATTGGTTTTCTCTTAAGACGCATATATAGGGTCCTCATCTCTCTGACTCCACGCTGCGAAAATGAGGACTGCTGCATTAGGTTCATCTCCACTCTACTCCCGACTAAGCTGCCTCATACTCGTGGAGAGGGCCATATCGACCCGATTGGCTCTCGTTCTGGTTTGGCGGAAAGGTGAAAAGCACTAAATCTTTGGTTGGTGTATCAGGGAGAGGCGAATACCAACCCCAGCTTGGATACGATTTCTCGATCAGAGATCCATTAATCACATTCGTTACCTACTCATGGCCTTTTGCCAGCGCCCTTCATTCTCACTGCACTCGTGGAGAGCTCTAGAACAGTAAATGTATGCACTTATAGCTTGATATTCCATATCATCCCTAAGATTGATTCGTATGTAAGCAGCTTTTAATAAAATTCTTGATAAGTATTGTAGGACTGGCAACTTCAGATGAAATTCTCATTTGTATTCATAACAAGCGCAAAGCCTAATAAAATGCCCACATTTTTATGTAAAAGTTTCTGATGTTCGAGACAATGAATATCATGAAGCACGTTTGCACCGTGGAAGCAATCCAGAAGGCCATTGCTCCCTGAGGCTTCTAAGTTACTGATCAGAATCTTAGAACGGTTTTAACGAAAGATAAAAATACCAATGACACTATATTTTTTGATTAGGAAAAGGTAAAATTTAAATATCAGTTACATTATATTCAACACAGTTGAAAGAAAATATTGTATCCAAGGGAATTATCATCAATCCTACACCCCAGTTTGGATCAATAAAAGCCATGCCTATGCGCAGCAGACAAATGAGAACAACTCTCTTTGCTTCTTTTTTTGCTCCATTCATGCGTGGTACTACTTCACTCGCTCAAGCAGAAGAAGATGTAGCCTTTCTACGGACTCAACTGAACTCATAACTTCTGACACAGTATAAATTTATATATAAAAATCTACTAAAATAGCAACATGTATTAGATTTGAACCTATAATTTTAATAGTACAATGAGTACAATGCTAAAAATCTCAATGAGTGCACTAAGCTCCCGCTATGCGCAGGGTCCGGGGAAGGGCCGGACCTCAAGTGTCTATTATACGCAGCCTTACCTTGCATTTGCAAGAAGTTGTTTCCACGGCTTGAACTCGTGATCTTCTGGTCACATGGCAGCAATTTAATCAGTTACGCCAAGACTCCCCTTCCTTAAAAGTTGAATCCACTAAATTTAAATCTTGCATCCGCGTCTGTGCTCAAGTTCAGGAATTAGCGGCAGAAATGTCCGGCTGCTGATTCCCCAGCTTCGTTGTATAGGCCGATGATGGCAAGGAAAAAAAAACTTTTTGTTAAAAGAATCCCACATGTTTAAAAGATAAAATTGCTTCTGCTTTTGGAAACAAATGTTGGCATGGTCTTTATATCGAACAGGTAGAGTGCATTTCAACGAACACCTTTTACTCTTAATTACACCACCCGTCCATCTCCCAAACAATTGAGACATCGTTGCACCCTACAAAATTTAACAAATTTTTTTAAAACTTTTGCAGTTCACATTCTCATTTGCGGATTTACTTGAATTAATTTATTTCTAACTATATGAAATTGAAATGGAAGCAACTCACTTGTGACCATCGCAAGTAGGGCAAACACATGGATTTATAAACACAGGATCATACAGCGGAGACCATCTTATTGTATCGTTTCCCTTGCACAGCTTACATATGTAAAATCCCTTTCCTCTACAACACCCACAAAACTTCCCGAACTTTTCCTGCATATATAATGCCACACAAAAATAATCAAAGAATGTGAAAATCATAGATTTTCTGAAAATGGGATTCTACAATACAGAAAATAAATTATCAAAAGAAAAAAAACCAATAATTTACCTTGTTAATTAAGGATTTACGGCGAAGGATTGAAGTGGTGAGTGCAGAGATAGATATGGATCCACCAATAAGGATAACGGAGCCTTTTGCTAACGTGCGCAGAAGTGGTGGAATCATTCGAATGCGCCCTTTGTTTCTCACTTCTTTGTAGGCTTTTAGTTTTGCTGTGCAGAACAAGGAGATAAGGCTATGAAGAAGAAAGTTCGTTTTCAATTATAGTAAAGTTGATCAATCTTTTTAATTTTACATAACTCACTTAGGTTAAGTGCATATTTATTGAGCTTGTTAATGAAATTTAAGAATTTAAAAACTGATAGAGTATTAGTTCTACTCCTCTTCCCATTTTATATGATATTTCACTTTTTAATCTGTCACAAAAAGAAGATAGTATTTTTTACTTAACATCTTCATTTTTCATGTAAAAATGATATAACTTGATGGAATCTAATTGATATAAAAGTTTCCCGCCGTTCCAATTGATGTGAACCTATTTGACGGGACATGAAATTTAAGAAAGATGTGAGCACTTTTAAAATTTATGGTCCAAAACAAATCATAAAATTTTTGTTGGTTATAATTTTTTTGAAACTTGTGGTATTAAATATGTCACGAGTATTTTTGTGGCTATAAAAGCTTCTCAGTGATGGTAAAATTGAAAGTTTAAGTTAAATTATTTTCTAATTTAAAAAGGGGCCATTCTTTTTTAAATGGACCGAAAATGAAAATAGATTCACATAAACTAGAACGAAGAGAGTAAATCTTTTATAAAAGAGAAAAAGGAAAAGACATATAGAAGTCTCACTGTCCCTTGTTTTAAAAATAATTTTGATATTTTATGTATGCTTAGCTTATATGTCAAAAATTTCTTTAATTTTTTAAATTTCATACTAAGTCAAACATTTCGTATACAATATAACTCAGACATACACATGCAGTTCCACAAACACATAGCTAGCAAGAAGGAACCATGTCTAAACTCCAAATTCAATAAAACATAGTCCCTCAGTTCCAGTTTATGTGAATTTATTTTATTTTTGGTCCATTCCAAAAAGAATGACCCCTTTCTAAATATGGAAACAATTTAGCTTAAACTTTCAATTCTACCCTTAATGAGAAGATTTTATAACCACACAAATACTCTGGACCCCATTCTGACACGTCTAGGACCACAAATTCCAAAAGTCTTCATTTTTTCTTAAACCTCGTGCCCAATCAAACAGGTTTACATAAATTGAAACTGAAGGAGTATATTACATGATTCGACATACACATGCATATAGCTAGCAAGAAGGAACCATGTCTAAAATCCAAATTTAATAAATCGTATACTATGTGACTCGAGATACACAAGTAGTACCACAAATACTAGCTAGCAAGAAGGAACCATGTCTAAACTCCAAATTCAATAAATCATATATTACATGACTCGACATACACGTACACGCTGTTACGCGGCGCCTTCCTGAGACGTAAGGCTAGGCAACTGATGTCAGTGCAGTTGCTGTCCGCCAACTGAGGTCCCCTCCGTACGCTAGACGAGATTGTCAGTGCCGTACGGGAAAACCAATGTCAAGAGCAATTGAGAGAACAGAAATGAGAATTCAGAATGAAAGAAAGCTTGATTGCATTAATGAAAGCTATTACAGAAAAGCAACGCGGTGTCGAGGGGGAGAGACACCAGTGCAGAGAATTGCTTGCTTGCTAGAAAGTTTTGATTGCTTGATCCCCCCTAATAGTACTTAAAAAAAAAAATCCAAAGTTACAAGACTAGACTTGACTAAGCTAGAGAAACATAATGGAAGTACATGAAATAAAACTACTCTATATTTACAATGAAAATGACTTAGTTTTCTATAAGGCAGCAGCAGGTCTGTTGTCAGCAGCAGTGTCTTTGGCATCACGGTCTGCGCGCGCGGCGCTGTTGGCTTCTGCCTGCGGCTTGGCGCTCGCGAGGGATATCGGTGGGGCGACAGAGGCACCTGCGCGCTTGTCACTTAGCGCGGCCAAGACCACGGGGCCGTCCGTGGCGCTAGGCATTGGGAGGTTTGCTAGGACGCCACGGGGCGCGCCCAAGGGGTCATGGGGCATGGCTGGAAAGCCGCCCATGGCATTCTCCCCCACCTGAGTTGGAGACTTGGGATTTTATTAATGATGATGAGCTGGACTAGTTATAAATAAGGGAAAAAGTCTTTTTTTTATAAACCTTTTCTTTTTATTTAATTACACGTGTCAAGTTTTTTTTTTAATACAAAATATTTGTGTCGTTCTGTAATTGGTTCATTTGACATGTCACCCGCAAGTGAGATTCACGCATATGATTTGCTGTATTCGGGTATTTACTTGATACACCTAAAAGCCACTTGAAGTGTTAAAATAATAAAGGGTTCAGTTGAGGTGTTTGCCTGACCGTTGAGGACAACTTAAAGGGGCTATTTATGTATTTCGCCATGAATAAATGAACATCCCCGCAACGTGCCCCCCTGCTATTTGAAAGATATTCTAGTTGCAGAATTCAAGGCCTTTCTAATAACGGAAAAGGGCTAAATATACCCCTTTACTTTCAAATATTGTTTATTTGTACCCTTCGTTATACTATTGAGCTATCCATACCCCCTACCGTCATACTTTGTAGCAATATTGCCCTTAATTTGGACGGAGTACCATGTGGCAGCTCCTGAATGAAACTTCGCATTTTATTTTATACCCGATCGCTACCCACTTAAACCCCTAATCCGACCCAATTAAAACCCAACCCACCTTAAAATCTATGAAGAAACACACGAAATACACCGCAAAACTTACCCTTCTCCCCTCGATAAAACAGATCCCCAAATCCAAAAACTAGGGGAATCAAATATGATATATTCATTTGAAATAACAGCTAGTTTATTGGTCGATTAGAACATGATCAGTTTCATTCTTGATCGGAAAGTTGAGCATTTTATAGATCTGGCCAAAAATACAAAAAAAATTCAAGAATCATTCAGCGAAACAACCAACTAATATTCAGAACTCAGAACTCTAGAGACCTCAAATCACAGCAACGGGTTCTCTGCCCCTGCGGCGATAGAGCAATAGAAGTTTTTCTGAGTACTCATGAGAACGTCAACTCTTTTTCCTTGGGGTAAATATCAAATGACTGCTCTGTTTCTGTGCTCACAAAAGCAAGGTAGTGCATCTTATTTAAGATTCAACATTTTAGCACCAGCCACTATGTTACGGTTGCTGAATTTCAGAGAAGAAGAAGCTAACTAGGGCTAAGCTAAAGCTAAGAATAAAAAAATTAAGACAAATAAAATAAAAGGGTTTTCATTCATAAGCCTCTGAAATGGGTAGAGCTCATACATATAGCTCAAAGACATGAGCAAGGGCCTAGGGACTAAAAAGAAATAAGGAAAACTTACAATGGGTCAATTAAATAATAAAGCAAACTAAGTGGATCAATTGCAAGAAGTAAACTTGTTAACTAATCAGCCTATCGCTAACTTTACGGTGCAACATTTCAAGCCTCTTGTACAAGTTCCACCTGTTGCTCCAAGCTCTTCTATTTTAATTCGTATCACACTAAAGCCTATATAACAATCAAATAAACATTTCACAACACCAAATTCGTAAAAATGGGTGGAATGTCATTATGGTTCTTAGTCAATGGCCATTAACGTCAAATCCATTTGAAAAAATAGACTACTCCTGCTATTATGATGTTTCTTCTGATTGTTGAAATGTTTCTTCTGATTGAAAGTTTCTTCTTGTTTCAATCGGCCTATTACGTTGAGATCTTAATAAAAAGTCAATATCAAATTCCAAACAATTTACAGATTTCTTTTTGGGAGCGGGGGTTGTCTAATTCCTGTTGGGTTTGAGTAACAACGCAGGAATAGGCACTAAAATCCTCATTATAAACATATTTTGACCTGCTTATGTTTTGATCGAAATCCAAAAACAGGGGAGAAGGGTAAGTTTTGAGGTGTATTTTGTGTGTTTCTTCGTAGATTTTAAGGTGGGTTGAGTTTTAATTGGGTCGGGTTAGGGTTTTAAGTGGGTAGCGGATCGGGTTTAAAATAAAATGGAAAGTTTTATTCAGGAGCTGCCACGTGGCACTCTGTCCAAATTAAGGGCAATATTGCTACAAAGTATGACGGTAGGGGTATGAATAACCCAATAGTATAACGAAGGGTACAAGTAAACGATATTTGAAAGTAGAGAGGTATATTTGGTCCTTTTCCGTTCTAATAAAAGTAACACATCCGGCGGAATACTAAATCAAAGTTGGAGTGGAAACCTAAATTGTTTAGAATTTTATATTTACTAGTTTATGTAATTCAGAAATGTGTGTGTATATATATATATATATATATATATATATATATATATATATATATTATTAATATTATTATATATTATATATCTATATTCATATTCTATATTCTATATTCTATATCTATATCTATATCTATATCTATATCTATATCTATATTTCTATTATATAGAAAAGGAAAAATGGTCGACCAAGGATATATATGTCATTTCAGAAAAACTCCTACATTATTTGTAATTGTTAAATGCAAAGTGTCATTGATACACGTGGACCCCACATTCCCTTAACCATAACACTCCTTTAAATTTTTCATGATTAGACTACTTTTGCAGGGAGTAGAGCATGCAAATACTCATTTGTAACGTTCCTTTTCCCATTTGGTAAAATTACTAATTTTGGTTTAGTCAATTAGAAGTTTACACAGAGAAAGTAAACTTAATTTTTAAATAATAGAGCAACAAAAAGAAATATCGGTAAATATTTACAAGATTTGGAGGAAACTCAGTACCAAATGCTTGGCAATCCTTGGTAGAGCTTATTTATGATTTCGTGCTGAACGATTTTCGTATTTAACCATACTGTTTAAAAGCAATTATAAATTAAAATTAAAAGGTTTTCATCTATCCACACTATTTGAAGGCGATTTCAATCTAGAAATTTCATATTCAAAAATAATTTTAAAAAGTATAGTTTATTAAATCTCAAAAGTTAATTTAAGTGATGAGATTTGTTCATACTTTATTAAGGGACTATCTCTTATATGCTTAATTTATGTGAAAATTTAATCTACATGATTTGAACTTATTCTTCCCTGCTAAGTTTTCAAGTATCAATGAGTTATACTAAACATTATTTGATATAATTTTTTTATAGTGTTTCGTTATGAAAATTAACAAATGATAAATCTATAAAAAAGATAAAAATATTTCTCTTATCTCCTTAATTAAGAAAAAATTAAAAACCCAACAATAATTTATATCGACTTCTATCGAATGTTTAATATCTTATCACCAATTAACATCATTTAAATGAGTTGTAATAAAATATAATTTGAACTACTATAATGAATAATTGAATCACTACCATTTATATCAGGTTAATATTTATTTAGTGCCTTTGGTTCTCTTTGTTTGAAGTAGTAAATTACGTCTTTAGGGATGCAAGTCCCCTTGGAAGTTCTCTTTATTTACAGTACTAAATATTTCTCTTGATTTTGTTATATACAAGACATGAAATAAAATCATGATAATTTTTTTTCATATTTTATCGCATTGTAAAGAATGATGTTGTTCATGTTAACTTTCATCAAGTAGCTGATTGTTTCCACTGTTAAAACTATTGCGGACTCAATTTAGATGTATTCAAGAATAGTTTACAGATATATTGGTTAAAAAAAAAAGCTTCTTATTCTAGAAATTTTGTTAATATAGATGACACTTGTAGGTTTAATATTTACTCTTGTAAAATATTCAAATACATCGGGAAAATAATACTATTGAAATTAAATTTTCAATTTGATTTTTTTATGTTTGATATGGATGTTAAAAATGAGTATTATAGCACGTAGTTATTTTATGTTAATTGGAGCAACTTAAACAGATTATAATTTATAGTTTAATTTTAAGTAAATTATTAAAATAAACAAATTATAAATTGTGATCACCAATATCATTATTGATCCGTGATTAAATGAATATAACAAGGATCGATTTATTTATCAAAAAATTAATTGACTAAGAGTACAATGTTGGGCCCGTATACGGGCCTTTCTTCATCTATATATATATATATATATATATATATATATATATATATATATATATATATATAAATATATATGAGAGAAGATGGTCGACAACTGCATAAGTGACATTTTGTTCTGCCATTTAATTTTTTATGTGTAAATCTGCGTGGCTTTATTTCCTTCACAAAATTCTGACACAAACTCTAGAATCTCAGTAGCTTTCCGGCTTGTGAAACATAGCGCACCTTTTCAAAATAGAAATCAGAGACAGAATAACCTCTATCCATCGTTGCCAACAACTTCAAATAGAACTCGAACCTGATCGCTAACATAGCACATCCTCTTCGATCATCAATGAACATAAAATGAATTACATAGTGATAATCTCACAACAAAAACCTCAGAACAGCCCAAACCTCAAAGCATGCTCTGAGTCAGGTTTTCAATTTCTCAATCAATGGACTGCAATTCAGAAACCCACATATACTGTTGTACATGGAGAAATTAGAAGCGCAATTGAAATCAAAACTCTCTTAATATATCCATTCATCTTCTCAGTAATTTCAGGTAAATTAACCTCCATTTTTTTATTTAATCTCCTTCTACTTCTTTCCAAAAAATTTGTTGATTTCATGCTGAAAATTATTGTTGCTGTTATTGTTCATTTTAACTTTTTCTTCTATGGAGAAGAGAATTAGTGAATGTATTATATCTTTGGGCAAAGTAGTTTCTAGGTCTTATGCAATTTATGGAATAGCAGACTGCTTTGCAAATTTCAGGTTACTATTAGGCAAGAGAATATCTGGTATTATGCAAGACTAAATTTTAGGAAAGCAAATGCTGCTATTGTTGGTATTAGACTAGCTTCTTTAGTTTCTTGGAGTTAGAACACTGATTTGAAATTGAAAAGAGATGGATGAAGTAGTTTGGATGGTGTTGGTTCCAGTTCTCTCCATCTTCGTAGTTGAGTGTTACAATTTCATATGTGATTTTTTTTCATTTTTGCGCATATTTCTTCCAAATCTCTCCACACTTCCAAATTTTGTGGCTAAAATTTAAATTGTCTTCAAAAGGGGTAGATAGAGAAGAAGAGAATCGGTTAAGTTCTTAGATCTTTTGGGCAAAAAACTAATTTCTAGATGACGCAAAACAAATCAAAATACTCTAAAAAATAAGTTAATTGGATATTAATGAACACCTCAATCACAATAAACAATTAAGAACTTTTGTTCTATCATGTTTTTTTGGTCTTTCTTTAGCTTAATTTCTTGATGTTCTTCAGTTATACAAGTGGAATAAAGGATGATTTTGGGGGGTTTCGATCTTTCAAATTGTACAGTAAAATCCATGCACATTTTTAATAGTGAGAATGTTAAAATGAACAATGCAATACATGTCACTTACTGGAGTAATTTTGGATATTTTCTAGCTTTTTCTGTAGTTGCCTATTATTGGTACTTTTCTATTTTTCTTTGTTTTATTTTGCTTATAGGTTTTGCTTCATTGTGGTAATTGTTTGTTCATGCGTTTTTGTAGCATTTCAGTGTGTGGTAAATATCGCTCTTCTACTGGCTTTCTTTTATTTTTTCCCTCTTGGCTTTTTTCATTCAACTAAAACATCTTCCAAAGAATTTTAAGGAAAATAGTGCAGGGGCATAGAATTTGGCAAAATGGACAGTTGACAGTTACAATGGTGACAATTATAAGGAATATATTTGTAAGTTCATGTGCAAAAGCATAGAGAAAGTCACAGTTATGGTGCTTTCCCTATGGATGAACATGATTCTCCCTTTGGGGTGAATTGCTGCAATTTACAGGAGAAGGTTAATACTTATTTATATGCAAGAACTATTTTTAGTAACTATTGTTATTTCACCTTCTCCAATAAAAGATCATTCAATTCTCTATTTGCTGACTTTTCTTTCTGACTCATTTTAAATTCTTAGGTGTGCAATGATGGAAACGTCTGCCTGGTCTATATGAACACAATCTCAGGTCGGTCAATGGAATTTCAAGATTTTTATTCTAAGATTAATATCAATACTTTTTGTATTTCAATTGATCATGCACATAGATGAAACAACTAACTTTTTGAGGTCAACTGATATATTGTGATCAATTGAAATACAAAAAGTAGAAGATAGAAGGAGACACCAAGGCCTGCGGAGTAAACACACAATTTTTCTATATGAGTAAACACATTGGTAGAGCTTTTTCTAAAATAGTAAATGTAAACTCTCCCCCTACAATAACAAGAACTTTTGGCTCACTTATCGTTTATTTTTTATATATATTATATTATCCTGTTGATAACTTTTGATTTAGGATGCAAGCTATAGTTTAATTGAGGAACTAAGCTCTTCCGCGAGAATTTAGAAGTTTTGGTTGTAAGGCTACGGGAATGAGAAACTTCAGATTTTAGATTTTCTTAAAGCATGAAATCTTCTGAGCGCTTGACTTTGTTTCTAAGTGGATTTTGGTAAATGAAATCTTCTGAGCGCTTGCTTAGTCCTAAATTGATTTACATCACATGTAATAAATAATTCAAAATTATGTAACGAACAAGCACGTGACATAAAAATAAAATTCAACATTCTTCTAACATGTTTAATCTATATATCACATGTATCACAAAAAAGTAATTCATGCCAGAATATCATTATTAATTAACATCTCATGAACTAACAACAATTAAAAATAACAATAGAATCATGTAACCTATTATAGATTCCCGTCGTATCTAATACAAAATTTTAAATTCAAGTTATGAACTATCTCAATAGTTATATGAATACATATTTTATCCACAATAAAATAATATCAGCATTCAAACGATTTGACTATTGCACAAGACACATGTATTATGGTTTGAACTCTTCAAATATAATATTAAAATATTTCGTAAAATAAATTTTAGATACAATAAACCATGGCTCTGATGCAACTGAAGGATTGCATATAGGTGTTCGTAACACAAAGCGGAAGACAATAACAATCCTATGCAGATCTTTTCATGTTTAAAATTTATTTACATGTCAAAGATCGGATCTAAGACGTACCTGGTGAAGAGAGTCTCGTTTCAAAATTTCTTCGATAGTGCAAAGACTCTATGCGTATTGTCACGACCCGGATTTTCCACCTTCGGGAGTCGTGATGGCGCCTACTAGTGAAAGCTAGGCAAGCCAACCATTTGTACTATTTACCTTTTTCCCATTTTAATCCTTTAACAATTAAGTACCAACATTAAATAGATAACAGAATTTAATAAGCGGAAGACTGAAATGCAATATTTTAATAATAATGCCAATACCAATCCATAGCAAAAACTACCCAGAACTGGTGTCACAATTTCACAGACTGTCTAGGAATACTACAAATAAGGGTCTGAAAGATTAATACAACACTATCTCTGGAATACATGAAAGAAACAGAATGAAAAGATAGAAGGAGACGCCAAGGCCTGCGGACGCTTGCAGGACTACCTCGGGTCGCCTCATGAACTAGAAGCAGCAACCTCACTTTGGTCCGAAAGCTACAGCACCGGGATCTGCACAAAAGAGTGCAGAGTGTAGTATCAGCACAACCGACCCCATGTGCTGGTAAGTGCCTAGCCTAACCTCGGCGAAGTAGTGACGAGGCTAGGACCAGACTACCAAATAAACCTGTACAGTTAAATCATATACAGCGGAAGAATAAAGGCAGAAATTTACAATTTAAAAGTAAGAAGGGGGGAGACATGCTGCAGGGAAATCAAGTAACAACAGAAACAAATAAATAACCGTAAAGAACACCATAACTCCAATATCAACAACAATTAGGAAATCAAGACAAGTGCACGGCATCACCCTTCGTGCTTTTACTCTCGTCCTCACCAAATATCAATGTAATCGGCACGGCATCACCCTTCGTGCTTTTACCTCACATAATCATGGCACGGAATAATCCTTCGTGCATTATCACTCATATAAAGGCACGGAATGGTACATCGTGCGCACGGCATCACCCTTCGTGCATTAACACTCTCTCACAAATATCATGCACGACATCAGCCTTCGTGCTTTAACACTCTCTCACCAATACAATGCACGGCATCACCCTTCGCGCTATAACACTCTTCCTCACCCAAACAACAATCACAAGCAATAAGGGCAAGGAAATAAATAAGATCACAATAAAATTCCGGCAAGGGAACAATAGTACAACAATCATATCCTGACAAGGGAAATAATATCAAAAGCAACAACATTCCAGCAAGGGATATAACATTAAAAGCAACAACATCCCGGCAAGGGAGACAATATCATAATCCTCTTCTCTTTTTCACATTTACTTCACAACTCAATTCACAACTTGAGCCAATGCTCTATAATGTTCAATTGCCAATAATAATTCCACAAATCATTTCACAACTTGAGCCAGCGCTCTTCAATGTTCAATTGCCAACAATAATTCCACAAATAATTTCACAACTTGAGCCAACGCTCTCCAATGTTTAATTACCAAAATTACTTCCGCAAGCCTTGTTCAACAATAGAAATACCACATAAGGCATGAACAATACAAAACGGAGTCATATTAATCATAGCATAAGACTCACGGGCATGCTTGACACCAACGTATAGATACTCGTCACCATGCCTATACGTCGTACTCAACAATTAACACGTAGCAAATAGGACACAACTCCTAATCCCTCAAGCTAAGGTTAGACCAAACATTTACCTCGACGCCACGAACACAATTCAAGCCTCAATTACCGCTTTACCTCTTGATTCCACCACCAATTCGCTTGTATCTAGCCACAAGTTACTTAACTATATCAATAAATGCTAAATGAATCAATTCTAATGCATGAAAATAGATTTTCTAAAGTTTTTCCAAAAAAGTCAAAAACCGACCCCGGGCCCGCTTGGTCCAAACCCGAAATTCGGATCAAAACCCGATTACCCATTTACCCCCGAGCCCGGATATATAATTGGTTTTGGAATCCGACCTCAATTTGAGGTCCAAATCCCCAAATTTCAATATTCTTAGGTTTTACCGAAAATTCCCAATTCCACCATGAAAACCCTAGATTCTAGGATGAAATCTTGTAAAAAGAAGTTAAGAAGTGAAAGAAATGAGTTTAAAATCACTTACTTGTGTTTTGGGGAAAGAAAGAGTGCTTGAAAAATCGCCCTTTATGTTTTAGGTTTCTGGAAATGGTAAAATAACTGAAAAGTCCCGTTTATATACCCCTCTCAGACCCTCACTGCGGACCACATAAAAGAGGATTGCGCCCGCGGAGCTCCACCTCGGTCCGCAAAATATCGAGCGCGGCCGCGGAGGCTTGGCCTTGCTCTTCCGCGGACCGCATAAATCCCACCGCGGTCGCGGAGGCCCCACCGCAATCGCGAGAAAGCACTGCGGACCGCAAAGCCAGGTTCAGAGACCTGCAACTTCTCTGAACCTGCAACAACTATTTTTCTAAGTCTAAATCCACTCCGTGGCCTATCCAAAACTCACTCGAACCCTCGGGGCTCCAAACCAAGCATGCACGCAAGTCCAAAAATATCATACGGACTTGCTCGTGCGATCAAATTATCAAAATAACATCAACCACTATGAATTAAGCCTCAAATTCATGAAATCACTTAAGAACATCAAAATTTCCAATTTTCTCAAATAAGGTCCGATTTATACTGTCACACCTCCTTTTTCAACTACACCCCGTAAAGGGTATAATAAAGGAGTTATTTCCAACTTGAAGTGACAATCGAAACGGGATTATTTTATCAAAAATTCAGAGTCGCCACTTGGGAGATTTATGGTGTCCTAAGTCACCCGTTTTAATCCCGAATCGAGGAAAAGAATGACTCTGTTATTCTAGTCTGCGAACCAGAAATCCGGGTAAGGAATTCTGTTAATCCGGGAGAAGGTGTTAGGCACTCCCGAGTTCCGTGGTTCTAGCACGGTAGCTTTGATAATACTTGGCTTACGAAAATTATTTAATTACTGATTTTAAACCTATGTGCCTTTGTTTCTTTCACCGCTTTTAATTAGAAAATTATCTTGAGACGGGTTACGCGTACGTATACCCGCCCGTTTAATGCGTCAAACATCATGTCGCGCGAACGTGTCACAATCAATGACGCTTAATTATTATTAAGAAAAGTTTGGGCCGAAGTTGCGCGAACGCATACTCCGGTTTTATTTTTAGAAATGTAGTTGTGTTACGCGGACGTATACGCAACCACACTTGGTATTTTCAAACGGCCTTAAAGAATATTCTACGAAATATTATTTTTATCTAGCCTACAAAATTACTAAAAGCCATATGTGATTTTGATGAACTTACATGAACTAAAAACCATATGTGATTTGATGAACTTGCATGAAGTTGCGCGAACACATACTCCGAATTAATTTAGGATCATGGTCATGTTACGCGAACGTATACGCAACCACAATCATGTTTTAAACGGCCCTAAAAGCTTTTCCATGAATATTAATCATTTTTATATCTTAGGTTATGAAATTAATACAAGGGCCATACATGAGAAGCTCGAGGGAAGCCTAACAACGACTAAAAGAGGGCCAATTTCGATTCTAACTAACTTCCCAAGGCAACACAGTAGAGAACATTCAGGCCCGGGCTTGAATGAGCCCAAGTCTAGTGAAGAAAGCAAGTCCGAAGACTCAGATTCACAAACGATTAATGAGCAGTAAGATTCTTCATATGGGCCGACCTGCCACCTAAATTTTCAGACCCAATTGGAAAACCCCCTAACCAATACAAATTCAAATCCCCATCAGACATTACATTACTAAACAAAAACCTTTATCCTTTTTAATTAAACCCCAAATCAGTTGCTGGGTGTCCGTAGAATTGGATACTATTTCTACATTGAAACGGCTTCATACACTTCCCAAGGAAAATTAACACCTGTATTTATCCTTCTAACGTGATTTACACAATCCAAATTCAGGAATGATTCAACTATTTAAATATTCTATAATAACACAAGAAACAAGATATACAACCCATTACTGAGCCAATCCCAAACCTTATCTTTCAAATTCCCTTAATCATTTAAGACCAAATAAAACAAAACTTAAAAAGCGATAAGTTACTCAAATACAGCAGTTAACAGAACACTACAGTCTCTATTAAACATGAGCCTACCATATTTAAACTAAACTATGAGCACAGCTACTAATCAAATAGAACGTGTCCACCAAAAATAGTTGATAACCAATTTAATTCTGTCCTGTTCAGCAGTAAATATATTTAATCACGATCCTTCTAGGCCCAGTAACACAGATTGAGCATGAAAATAAAAACGAAGGAAAGCAAAACTTCAGTAACGACAGTCATTGACTTGATCACATTTCATATTCAAACTCCAAAGTACATTTGGGTGATATCCATGGTGTTAAAA